AACTTATTGGAGTAAAAGTTCCCAAATTTTCTCCATTCACATTGGCTTTGATGTTTCAATAACTGTTTGATGATACTCCTAGGCCTATAGAAATAACAGTCTGTTCATTAAAAAGGTAAGTCCAGCCCTAGCTGGTTTGGCTCAGTGGATAGAGTGTCAGCCTTGGGACTGAAGGGTCCCAGGTTTAATTCCAATAGAGGGCACAAGCCCAGGTTGTGGGCTTGATCCCCAGTAGGGGGCGTGCAAGAGGCAGCCAATCAATGATTCTCTTCATTGATGTTTCTATCTCTCTCTCCTTCTCCCTTCCTCTCTGAATTCAATAAAAATAATATTTTAAAAAAGGGTAAGTCCAAAGAAACAGTCTTTATGTCCTAAGAACACAATGCCTTTGGGACACCACACACCTTCTCGAACCTGGAATCACACAGGACACTGCTGTTGTTATTTCTTATTGCATATTAATTTGTACACAATACTTGCTTTTTACCACGAGAACATCCAAAACCTCAGCTTCAAAAAGATATGACATTATCAAAAGGAATGTAGTGCGAGCTAATGCAAAAACTGCCTCAAGCTAGCAGCCTGTGCAGGGTCAGACAGATGTCACTGTGTCGTGAGCTGAATTATGTCCCCCTTCAAATCCACATGTTGAAGTCCTAACCCGCAGTACCTCAGACTATGACTGTATTTGAAGAGAGGGCCATTGAAGAAATAATCAAGGTCAATGAGGTCATATGGGTAGGTCCTAATCCAATATGACCGGTGCCCTCATACGAAGGGGAGATTAGGATACAAATATGCACGCACCCAGAGGAAAGGCCATGGGAGGACACAGTGAAAAGCTGGCCCTCTGTAAGCCAAAGAGAGAGGCCTCAGAAGGAACATAACCTGCCAACACTTTGATTTTGAACTTCTAGCCTCCAGAACTGTGAGAAAATTAATTTCTGCTGTTTAAGCCCCTGGCAACCTAGCAAACACACAAGCTAGGTATTCCCTAAGATTTTAAAACCCCCCTCAGCACCCCTGTGAGTTCTCCAACTGTGAGCACCTCAACACACAATTGGAGAGCCACCACCTGGGGGCTTACATATGCCATGGGTCTGACCCCACTCAAACCACTAATGGAAATAAATGGACATATTGCCAGGGTATAAGTCAGCTAGCAAATTTCATTCAACACAAGTCAACATTTCTGCCCTAACACACCTGGTTCCTGGCGTCAGCAGGTATTAATCACCAGCTGGAAGTTGCCCCAGGCCAGTGACTTAGGGAGCCCGTTGGGAGGCTGCTGTGGTGGTCGAGGAGAAAGCTGGTTATGACCCGGACAGGATGGTGGCAGTGAGAATGCAGGACAGGGGGCATATTGGGATATATTTTGTGGTGAAGTAGTTCTGACTCAGAACTTGCAGATGGATTTGTGAGTGGGAGAGAGCAGAATCAAGGATAATTCCTAGGGTTTGTTTATAATGGAGTCTATTTCTATTGTGACTGCACAATTTTTATTGAGAGCCTGCTTACTGCCATGCTATGTCCAAGGTGCTGGGCCACCGGGGTGGGAAAATAGTGAAGTATCCATCTTATATAAAAACTGCTGTTTGAAATTTTAACCCTGATAGTATGGCTTCTGTCTTAAATGATAAGGAAAATAAGACGACTCCCATTCCAGAGAGGCCGTAAACGATGCCCCAGACAGAGTTGTCAGTGCTGACACCCAGACAGTTGCCAGGCCTTGAGATATGGTCTCATGGCCCCTTCCCAGCACACAGGCCTTATCTCTCAGAAGGCCCGAAGTCTCATTCCAAATTTGGGAGACAAAGGACTGGAAAAAGTATAAATAGAGTTTCCTCCATACTGGGGGGCCCAGAATTTGAAAGACACATTTTTCTCTGGGCCTCCACAGAATTTAATAAAATGTAACTCCTGTAGTCGGCACTGCAGTTCAGCCTTTGTTTCGGCAGGGTGCTGTAACTGTAGTCGCTGGCCAGCTTAATAAAGGCTCCTTAATCTTGATTTGAGTCCCTGGTAGTCATCTCCACGGGTTGCCCCATTACAATAGAATTCTTACTTTTGCTTGATTAAGAGTGTGGATGTTGGAGCTGGACTGCCTGGGTTCTAATCCCAGCTCTGCACTTATTTGCTGTGTGGCCTTGGGCAAGTTACTTAACCTACCTGGCTCAGTTTTCTCATCTGTAAAGTGGGGATAATAAAGGTATCCACCTTCTATTAGAACTGTTATAAGGATCAAATTAGATAATATATTAAAACACTTAGAATAGTGCCTAACCAGTATAAGCATTCTATAAGTTTTAGCTTTGATAGTCCAGGGAGCTTTCATTCTAGTGGAAAGAGGCAGAAAATAAACAAACAATATTATATCATGACTAGAGGCCCGGTGCACAAAAATTTGTGCACTTGGGGGTGGGGGGTCCCTCAGCTCGGCCTGTGCCCTCTCGCAGTCTGGGACCCTTCGGGGGATGTCCACCTGCTGGCTTAGGCCTGCTCCCTGGGGGATCGGGCCTAAGCTGGCAGTCAGACATCCCTCTGGCAGCCCAGGAGCCTTCAGGAGATGTCCACTTGCCAGCGGGGAGCAGGCCTAAGTTGCAGTCGGACATCCTTAGCCCTGCTGAGAATGCGGGAGAGGCTCCCGCCACCACCGTTGTGCTGGCTGCTGTCAGCCTGGCTTGTGTTTGAGCAGAGCTCCCCCTGTGGGAGCGCACTGACCACCAGAGGGCAGCTCCTGCATTGAGCGTCTGCCCCCTGGTGGTCAGTGTGTGTCATAGTGACTAGTCATTCCCAGTTGTTCTGCTGTTAGGGTCAATTTGCATATTACCCTTTTATTATATAGGATAAGTTTAATGAAGGAAATTTGAAAGGGTGATAGAAGACTTCATGAACTTTGGGTGCTCATGAAAGGCCTTTCAGAGGAGATGACATTTAAACTAAGACTTAGATGGCAAGAAGGAGCCAGGTGTGAGCATATCTAGGAAAAGAATAGACTAGAAGGAATCAAATGTAAATTCCCTCAGGCAAGAACAAGCTTGGCATGTGCCAGCGACAGGAAGGAGGGCAGTAGGGCTGGAATTCAATGAGGGAGCGAATGATGCCAAATGAAGTTGGCAAGGCTGGCAGCTGACAGATCAGGGCAGGAAATTCAGTTTTATTTTAGGAGGCATGGGAGCCAGGGGGATGTTTTGAGGAGGAGGATGGTGTGGTTTGACTCACATTTTTGAGACCAGCTGGACGATTGTATGAGCAGGTTTTGGGGTGGCAAGAGAGGACACAGGGAGACTAGTTGGGAGACTACTGAGGACTGCAGGCAAGAATGATGGCTTCATCTGAGTGGAGGGGCCAGGTAGGAGGACAGGTCTGGGATGTGTCTTAGATGTAGCATCAGCTAGACTTGGACTCGGTTCTGCTGGACACAGTTCTGGAGAGTCCGCCTAGCACCGTCTTGGTGTTTCAGGGTGCAGCACAGATTTAGGTAAAGTTGAGGACCAGAGCAGGTGGAACTGGGGGCAGGGAGGCCAGGAAAAGAACTCTTGCAGTTAGTTCAATGGAATGAATGTGGAAATGTCCAGTGACTGATAAAAATGTAACAGCCAGCATTCGCTGAGCTCTTTCTGTGTGGCCAGATTCCGAGGGAAGTGCTCTGTGTGCATCATCTCGTTCAACTTTCACAACTACCCTCTGAGCTAAGTATCAGTATCCCCGCTGGACAGGGGAGGAGCTGTGAAGATGACTTGTGTAAGGGTCACACGGTGATGGAATTCAAAGCCCAGTTTTAAGAAAAGATGTTGTTTATATATATATATATTTCAGAGAGGAAGGGAGGGAGGGAAGGAGAGGGGGGAGAGGGGGGGAGAGGGAGAGAGAGGGAGAGAGAGAAAAAAAACATCAATAATGAGAGAGAATCATTGATTGGCTGCCTCCTGCATGCCTTGGGATCAAGCCTGTAACCTGGGCTTGTGCCCTGACCAGGAACTGAACCGTGACCTCCTGGTTCACAGGTTGATGCTCAACCACACCAGCTGGGCACACCCCTCTTTTTGGGATGTCAGGAGTGTATTAAAGGAACCGATGCTGTTGGCACCCCACAGCACCATATTACCGTTAGAAGGGGAACTCTAACTTAACAATGGATTACGAATGCTTATCTCCCGTGCTGTACAGGCTACATTTTTAAGGCTCACTAATTGATTTCAATGTGATCAGCTGAAATGAGCCGAAGGCATGGTGGGCTGTCACGAGGACTCAATACAATACTCACAAGCACCTGGCCTAGGTGGGTGTTCATTAAATATTTGTCGGCTCTGAACCTGGATCAACAACATAAAAAGTGTTGTTTAGGCCCTGACCAGTTTGGCTCAGTGGATAGAGCGTCGGCCTGCGGACTCAAGGGTCCCAGGTTCGATTCCGGTCAAGGGCATGTACCTTGGTTGCGGGCGCATCCCCAGGGGGAGTGTGCAGGAGGCAGCTGATCGATGTTTCTCTCTCATCGATGTTTCTAACTCTCTATCCCTCTCCCTTTCTCTCTGTAAAAAATCAATAAAATATATATATTTTTTAAAAAGTGTTGTTTAGTGAAAAGGTGCCCGAACACCCTCTCTGCCTGTTTTATTAGTGAATATACTCCTCAAAAATGGGCATGTGGCCCTAACCGGTTTGGCTCAATGGATAGAGCGTCGGCCTGCAGACTCAAGGGTCCCGGGTTCGATTCCGGTCAAGGGCATGTACCTTGGTTGCAGGCACATCCCCAGTAGGGAGTGTGCGGGAGGCAGCAGATCGACGTTTCTCTCTCATCAATGTTTCTAACTCTATCCCTCTCCCTTCCTCTCTGTGAGAAATCAATAAAATATATTTTTTTTAAAAAAATGGGCATGTGAAAGGCACCTACCAATGAACTTTATACATCCAGAAATGGTACCACCAAATTTAAGGTTATTACCCTATAAATAAACAATTTCAGTTCCTTTAACGGATACTTCAAAATCTCTACTTACACTTCCAACGATCCTTCCAAGAATCTGCCAGAAGGTGGTCCTGTCAATAGAAAGGACACAAGCCATTATTTACCACCAATGCCGTCAAGATAACTGTTACTGAGAAAACCCAAAACGCTCAGTTGGAATTTTCAGAATTCAATCAACACACCGCCACCCCAACCAACGACCTCCCCACTTTGCCTAAAGGACTCCTCACAGTTGATCCAGCCCAAACCACAGAGGAACATTAAGAAAATAACCATCATCAAAACTGCTGTGTCCTGGTCATCTGGGTTGCTGGGCTGTGGTGGTTGGTAGTTGGGGAGGGGCAAGCAGATCCGGCAAAAGTGTTGTTTTAAACTGGTAGCTAGGAGCTCCGATAATGAGGTCACAGGGTGGTTGTGTTTTGGAACTTTCTGCTCGTTCAAGGCAGTTGTCCCGAAAAGCCTTCGAGTTGGTGTGTGGCGCTGCTCCATCCTGCTCCCGGGGCGCATGAGCCGCTGGAGGACAGAACCCCATCTTCCCTAACCGGCGGCTGATCAGCTCGCCCGCTCGGCGAGTCAGCGTGAGGCGTCGCCTATGACAACGTCGCTGGAAGCGCTTTCCAAGTCGCATAGCACGACTTCCAGGCGGTTCCCAGTTCTCCCAAGTCCGGCCGTTCTCAGGGGAGGAGACGGGGCCTGGAGATCACACGGCTTCCCACGGCCTCCGAGGAGCAGGGCGGAGCGCGCCCGGGCGCCCCTCCATCCACCCATCAGCCCTGCCCACCGCGCCCGGCCCCGCTCCTCCCCAGCCCAGCGCTGGGACCAGAGCGCAGCGCCCCAGGTTCGCATCCCGGCTCCGCCGCCTGCAGGACCCGCGGCCCCTGACGGCTCCTGCCCGCCCGGGTGCGGGGCGGCCCCGGGCAGCGGGGGCTGGATCATGGCAGTTGCCCGGGAGCTCAGTTATCGAACCCTCCCGCCCCGGGCGGTGCCCGCGCTGCGGCTGCAACCCCGGCCGGGACCCGCGGGCCCGCTCCGCGCCGGGCACCGAGCTGCTGGCTCCGGCCCCGCTGCTGGCGCGGCCCTCACCTCGGGGCCACTGGCCCGGGACGGGGTCTCGCCGTCCGCTCCTGGCTCTCCGGCTTCGCCGCCCGCCACGCCCCCGCGCCTCCCGCCGCCCCGGCCACCGCGGACCCCCGCAGGCACCCAGCCGCCCAGCGAGCCCGCGCCGCGCTCCAAGCCGCGGAGACCCGTCCGGCGGGGCCGACGCTCGGCTTCCAGAAGCGAGTGGGGGCGCCGGGGGGCCGCGCGGGGGCGCCGGGGGCGGGGCGGGGCGGGGCGGGCGGGCGGGGCGGGGGCGCCGGGGGCGGGGCGGGGCGGGCGGAACGGCCGGCGGTTGGATTCCGCTCCGCCGCGCACCGCCCCGCCACGTGACGGTCAGCCCCGCCCCTCGGGCCGGGAGTTGGCGGGGACGGGGGGGTGGGTGGGGGCGGGGCGGGTAGTGTAACCACCACCTACCACGGGGCCCAGGGGCTGAGCTCCCTGTTATCAGCCCATTTTGCAGATGCGGCGAACTGAGTCCCGCCCAGGGGAGCCGGGAGAGGCCGTGGGCCAACGCCGTCAGCGCCCCGCCGCCCGTCGTTTGGACCTGAAAGCACTGGCCTCCTTTCCCATCCAGTGATCACAGGACCCGGTGATCATATTGGAATGGAAGCCCCATGAGAGCAGGAACTTTGCTGTCCTCTCATTCACTGCTCCCTCCCCAAAGATTTTTTTAAAATATATTTTTATTGGCCGAAACCGGTTTGGCTCAGTGGATAGAGCATTGGCTTGCGGACTGAGGGGTCCCAGGTTCGATTCCGGTCAAGGGCATGTGCCTGGGTTGCGGGCGCATCCCCCAGTGGGAGATGTGCAGGAGGCGGCTGATCGATGTTCCTCTCTCATCGATGTTTCTAACTCTCTATCTCTCTCCCTTCCTCTCTGTGAAAAATCAATAAAATATATTTAAAAAATATATATATATATATATATATATTTTTTTTTATTGATTTCAGAGAGGAAGGGAGAGGGAGAGAGAGATAGAAACATCAATGATAAGAGGGAATCATTGATTGGCTGCCTCCTGCACGCCCCACACTGGGGATGGAGCCCAAGACCCAATATATGCCTTTGACCAGAATGGAACCTGGGACCTTTCAGTCCACAGGCCGAAGCTCTATCCACTGAGCCAAACCGGCGAGGCTCTAGCCGCTAGGGCCCTCCCCAAAGAGCTTATAAAAATAATTGGGGGAAAGCCAGACAGAAGAGAGTGATATGATAAAGAGCGTCCAGCCCTGGCCGGTGTGGCTCACTGGTTCCAGCGTTGTCCTGTGCATAGAAGGGTTCCGGTCAGGGCAGGCACCCAGGTTGCCATGTGGTCCTTGGTCTGGGCGCTGCAGGAGGCAATTAATGGATGGTTCTTTCTCACATCAATGTTTCTCTCCCTCTTCCTTTCTCTCTCTCTCTCTCTCTCTCTCTCTCTCTCTCTCTCTCTCTCTCTCTAAAAATCAATAAACTCTGCCGAAACCGGTTTGGCTCAGTGGATAGAGCGTCGGCCTGCGGACTGAGAGGTCCCAGGTTCGATTCCGGTCAAGGGCATGTACCTGGGTTGCGGGCATATCCCCAGTAGGAGATGTGCGGGAGGCAGCTGATCAATGATTCTCTCTCATCGATGTTTCTAACTCTCTATCTCTCTCCCTTCCTCTCTCTAAAAAATCAATAAAATATATTTAAAAAATAAAAATAAAAAAATAAAATAAAAAATAAAAATCAATAAACTCATGTGAGGATTAATTTAAAACAAAAGAGCACCCAGCCTATAGATTCGGGGTAGTTAATTGATCCAATTTATGGGACAGCTAGAACACTTCAGTGGAATATAGAGGAGGAATGATGGTGGTCTGGAGTTGAGTGGTGGCAGTGGAGATAGAAAGAAGTGGAAGTTGCCCCAGCCTGTTTGGCTCAGTGGATAGAGCCTCGGCCTGCAGACTGAAGGGTCCCAGGTTTGATTTCGGTCAAGGGCATATGCCCAGGTTTCGGGCTCAATCCCCAGTAGGGGGTGTGCAGGAGGCAACCAGTCAATGATTCTCTCATCATTGATGTTTCTATCTCTCTCTCCCTCTCCCTTCCTCTCTGAAATCAATAAAAATATATATTAAAAAAAAAGAAGTGGAAGTATTTGAGGAAGGTTGGGGAAAAATAAAAGATTTGCTGGTGGGTAGAAAGTGAGGGATGGAGAAGGAGGAACCAAGAGGTTCCTGAGTTGGTAGTGCTGTGCACTGACATGGTTTGGGGTAAGGGAATAAAGTTCTGCGGTTTCTGATGCAATGTCGAGTGGTCATCTCTACAGAAGGATCTCGGAATCTGGATCTCAGAGGACAAGCGCATGGGCTGGATATGTGAATCTGGGGCAATACATGGCATTTACAGCACTGAGAATGAAAGACATCACCTATGGTGAAAAGTGAAAAAAAAGAAGAGGGCTCAGGACAGAGCCCTGGAGAATGCCAGCCAATACTTAGCATTCAGTTAGAAGAAAGGAAAAAATAAATAAAAAGAATTCAGGTAGAAGAGGAAGGTCCTGAAAAGGAGAGAGAATTGGCCAGAGAGGCAGGACTAAAACCAAGGGGCCCAAGAAAGGACAGCAGGTCATGAAGGAGGGGCGTGGCTATGCATCAGAGAAGCTGTGTGTGACCAAGCAGTTTGGGTGGAGTGTGAGGATGCAGGGACTCTCATTCTGTCTTAAAGGGAGGACGCCAACATTGCAGAATTTAGATCTGCAGTCAGGGCTCTCTGATGAGCCCCAACTGCCTTCTTGCCCGCCCCCTTTTTTTTAATCCTCACCCAAGGAGTGAGGATATTTTTTCCCATTTATCTTTAGAGAGAGAAAGAAACATTGAGGTGACAGAAATACAGCAATTGGTTGCCTCCCACCACCGAGGCCAGGGACCAAACCCGCAAATAAGGTACGTGCCCTTGACTGGGAATCGAACCCTCAACCCTTAGGTCCAAGGGCTGATGCTCTAACCACACTGAACTACCAGCCAGGGCCCTTCTTGCCCTCTTGGAGACATCTCAGACAAAGTAAAATTCTTATGCCTCTATTCAGCTACCCAAACAATGTTTTTAATTTTTGTATTGATTTTTCTTTTTGTATTTAAAGAGAGAGGGAGGGCAAGAGAGAAAAACATCTATGTGAGCGAGAAACATTGGTCTGCTGCCTCCTACAGACCCCCTACCAAAGACAAAGCCTGCAACATGGGCAGGTGCCCTGGCTGGGAATCGAACCGTGATCTCCTGGTTCATGGGTGGATGCTCAACCAACTGCGCCACACCGGCCAGGGCCCTCCTAAAATTGTTAACGATTACAGATCTCACTGTCTACCCAACTGACATGTTTGGAGTGATTCTGGATTCCTCCCTCTTCCAAACCCACTCCATGCAACTAATTACTGCTTCCAACTTTTTTCTCAAATTCCTCTACTTCTCTGCATGCCCTCTGCGCCTGCCCTGGTCCAAGCCATGATCACCCTTCCCCTGGATCATTAGAAGAGTCTCCCAGTTTGGTCTCCCCGCTGCCTCTCTCCATCCTCTTCCAACCCATTCTCCACACGGCAGCCAGAGAGGGAGCAATTAACACACAATCTGAGCCCTGGCTCCTGTGGCTCAGTTGGTTAGAATGTTGTCCAGGACACCGAAAGGTTGTGGGCAACCGATCAATGTTTCTCTCATATGTCAGTGTTTCTCTTTCTCTCTCTCTCTCTTCCTGTCTGGATCTCTCTTCTATTCCTTCTCTCCCTAAAGCAATAAAAACATATCCTCTGGTGAGGAATGCAAAAAAACATAAATCAATTCACTCCCCTGCTTAAAGCCTTCACAAGTTTCCCATTATATTCTCCTGCGACTGGAGCAGTTCACCTCCTTCCCTCAATTCTGTATCTCTGCCTGGGATGCCCTTCCCCTCTGCTCCTAACTGGCTCCTTCATATCCTGTAAGTCAAGGCTGTTTCTTAGGTAGCAGGCCTTCTCTGGACATCCCCGAACCGGGCGCTCCCTTCCCGTGTCTCCCGCACAGCGCCCTGCTCAGTGCCTTCCCGGCTGGAACTAGCTGTTTTCACTGTCTCCCTGCAGGAGGCAGGAAACTCCCGGAGGAAGAAATACGCACCCATGTCTTCTCAGAGTGCAGCACAGCCCTGGCACACAGTAGGCACTAAATAAATATTTAATGAGCACGGTGATTCGCCATGAGTAGATTCTCTACCTGTGAGATGTGCGGTTGCTCTCTGATAAAAATTAAAAGATTAAGTAAACCATGCCCTGACCAGATAATTCAGTTGCTTAGAGCATCATCACCATATGCAAAGGTTGCAGGTTCAATCCCTGGTCAACCAGTGAATGCAACCGATATTCTTCTGGTTGCTGCCATTCTAATGTCTAGGACAGTGATGGCGAATCTATGACACGTGTGTCAGAGGTGACACGCGAACTCATTTTTTTGGTTGATTTTTCTGTGTTAAATGGCATTTAAGTATATAAAATAAATATCAAAAATATAAGTCTTTGTTTAACTATGGTTGCAAAGATCAAAAAATTTCTATATGTGACACGGCACCAGAGTTAAGTTAGTGTTTTTCAAAATGCTGACACGCCGAGCTCAGAAGGTTCGCCATCACTGGTCCAGGAGGATGACAGTAGCTGCCATTGACTGCATCCAGTCTATGCACATTTTGATTTCTAACAACAACCCAATGAGAGGGGCCCTGTATTTCTATTTTACAAATTAAAACCTCGACTCCATTTATTTATCATGTTTGACGTTTAGTCTTTTTGTTTTTTAAATATATTTTATTGATTTTTTACAGAGAGGAAGGAAGAGGGATAGAGAGTTAGAAACATCAATCAGCCGCCTCCTGCACACCCCCCACTGGGGATGTGCCTGCAACCAAGGTACATGCCCTTGACTGGAATCGAACCCGGGACTCCTCAGTCCGCAGGCTGACGCTCTATCCACTGAGCCAAACCGGCCAGGGCTGACGTTTAGTCTTGAATTGTTTTTGTTTTTGTTTTTTTTTTAAATATATTTTATTGATTTCTTACAGAGAGGAAGGGAGAGAGATAGAGAGT